TTTATCTGCCTTTGCATAATAGAAGGTTGTTGTTACATCCTAGAATGTAACTATGCAGAGCGATGCCATTTTATTCTTGTTTATTCATCTCAACCATTGGAATTCACAACTTTTTGCTGGTGATAGGTTGTTTTTGCAAATATGAAGCTTGAATCCGATATCAAAATTCCTTTGCCTGATATAATGCTTCTGTTACTTCATAGATTGTAACTATGCAAAGGGGAAGTGGATAGAAGATGATAAGCAGCCATTGTACTCTGGTAACGAGTGCAAGCAATGGCTGTCAAAAATGTGGGCTTGTCGAATGATGCGGCGTGCACATTTCTCTTATGAGAATTATCGGTGGCAGCCACATGGCTGTGAGATGCCTGAGTTTACAGGGCCTAACTTCTTAAAAAGGTCATTTACTTCATTTATCTGTGCACCTTATTGAGATCTGGATTATTCTAACATATTTTTGGGATTTCAGGATGAGGAACCGAACTCTTGCTTTTGTTGGTGATTCACTTGGCAGACAACAATTTCAGTCAATGATGTGTATAGCAACTGGTGGCAAATACAGTCCTGAGGTCGAAGATGTTGGTTGGAAATATGGCCTTGTCAAAGCCCCAGGTGCTCTAAGACCTGATGGGTGGGCTTATAGATTTCCATCCACCAACACAACTATCCTTTTCTACTGGTCTGCTACTCTGTCTGAATTAGAACCTCTGAATACAGAAGACACAGTGACCAGATACGCATTGCATCTTGATCGACCAGTTACATTTTTGAAGAAGTATCTTAATTACTTTGATGTCCTAGTACTTAACACAGGCCATCACTGGAACAGAGGGAAATTCAATGGAAATCACTGGGAATTGCATGCTGATGGGAAGCCTGTAGGCAATGGTAGTAGACTTGCAGACCTAACCCGTGCAAAAAATCTTACATTGCATAGCATTGCTAGATGGATGGATTCAGAACTTGCACGGCATCCTAAGATGAAAGTATTCCTCAGGACAATTTCACCAAGGCACTTTGTAAATGGTGACTGGAACACAGGTGGGACATGTGGAAATACCATCCCCTTATCTAATGGAAGTGAGGTCTTGCAGGACCATTCAATTGATATACCCGCAGAAAATGCTGTGAAGGGAACTCGGGTTAAGCTTTTAGATATCACTGCTATCTCAAAACTACGAGATGAGGGGCATATCTCAAACTCTAGTTTCAAAAAAGCTTCCACCGGAATTAATGATTGCTTGCACTGGTGCTTACCTGGTATACCAGACATGTGGAATGAGCTTCTCTTTGTACAGATTTAGTATCACACTCTAGTTAGGCGGATCTTTTTCAGAGCCCCAAGGATCTCTTATGTTCATATCATAGCAGTACAGTACATTTATGGAATTTTGGATCACCCATTGGAGGTGTTCAGAAGATGATACTACTGATTTCTATAGAAGTAATTTACAGTTTGGTCCAGATTCTTCCAACTTCCTTTCGGAGCAGAGTAGGAGATGGAGCTGCTGCACAGCCCAATCTGACTACCGAGTATTCTTCAGGCACGTTGAACTTTGTTTCTACTTTTATCTTACTATAAAATCCTACCACGGTAATACCATGTGCAGCGTATATCCTTCAGAGAAATGTTCATACCAGTTGGCCGTAATTATATATGTTCATTCAGATAAAATTAAAAGTTCAACATTCGATTGATTTGTGTGACCTCAAAGGCTCCATTCTTGTATGTGTAACATTTTGAGTGATAGATGACCTGATATACCATGCATCTTATGACCATAGCTGCCTGTTGATACCTTGTCATTTTGCAACTCTGTGTTATTGCATTATAAATTTATCACGGCTACTGGAATACCCTTGTTTTAAAGCGTTGTCTTTCACTTGGTGCTCACATATTTTGCTCTATATTTTTCTAAGAACTGTAAGTACAACAGCATGAGCATATGAAAATATTTTAAATATGCATAATTTTGTCGCTAGATCTGCTTCTTGTTCGATTAATTCCATGTCATCAAGGACTCAAAATTGCAAAGTTTGACTATCAATTTCGTGGACACCTTATAAAATCAACTGGAAGGGGTTTGATACGTATGCCCTGTTGTCCTAGAAGAAATGATTACTGGTATATGCCAGAAGAATAAGCTTTTAAAACATTCGTAATTTGTTTTCTCAAAGATCAAGATGTTGTGAAACTGATATAAGCACTCCTATAAACATTATCAAGATAGCCGAACAATCATGAACCTGATAAGGATTAGACAAGGGTTGCGCGAAAATGCATAACCAATAATGTCCCTCTAGTGCATCTTCGATGTTATGTATATTAAGCAATTATTGTCACAACAAACGCTCCCCTTCTGAAAGGCAACACCATCTATTCAGAAAAGAAAGGGTTAACTATCTTTGCTCGACGTAGGTACTGAAGATACAATTTTCCTCTCTTTTTCTTGGAACAGCTACCGACAAATAGTTTTGGATGTTGAAGAGTTCCTTTTGTTTTGGTTTTGTTTTTTCGCATGAATATAATTGTTCGCACAGGATAGGACTATCCATACCCTTGTTAAAGGCAATAATACTACCACTCATTGCATAAAGTATAAGTAGAGAACAAAATATTGTATAAGTTCAGTGTGATTCTGAACTGTGGCCTTATCCATCATTAATCTTCTATCTTTCAGTTGGGATATTTAAACTGGAAATTGGGATAATTCACAAGTAGGCTGATGTCACAATGTATTAGTTATGCAGCAGTTGGAGTGATGTTATGGACACTTTCAGTTTAAGACCGTAGGCTAGTCATATCTTTCATAATCGAGGTCAAACATGTGAAAACTGTATCTGTAGATTTTCTTTTGAAATATGTTTCGAACTGCTAAAATTAATTTGTGAATATTTAAGTAAAAAGTCAGTGAGTGAAGCTAGTAGTGTGGACATTGTCTTTTTTTCTTTCTGTTTCTTTTATTTTATTATCTATCTATTTATTTTATTTATACATATAGGACTATATAGGAGTAGCACCGTGAGCCAAACCACTCCAAAATAAGGCCTCTTCTGGAACGCTTCGGAAGATTTCACATTGCTGATGATTACTCTAGTGAGGTGCCGTACTTCCCCAGGCAAAGTTGTGCGTAGAATAGGGGCCTGGTTTAGTGCCGTTTAGTTCTCAAAATTTTGTAAAATTTTTCAAGATTTTCTGTCACATTAAATCTTTGACGTATGCATGAAACATTAAATATAAATAAAAAATAAAACTAATTACATAGTTTAGACGAAATTCACGAGACGAATCTTTTAAGTCTAATTATATTATGATTGGACACTAATTGTCAAATAACAACGAAAGTGCTACAGTACCATTTCTCAAAAAAATTCGCCAACTAAACAAGGTCTTAGTTCTAAAAAATTTTCACCCCAAACTATCACATCGAATCTTGCGGCAAATGCATGGAGTATTAAATATAGACGAAAAAAACTAATTGCATAGTTTAGTTGGAAATCGCGAGACGAATGTTTTAATACTAATTAGTCCATGATTAGCCATAAGTGCTACAGTACTAACATGCATTAATGATGGATTAATTATGCCTAATAAATTCGTCTCGCAGTTTCTAGACGAGCTATGTAATTAGTTTTTTTATTAGTATCCGAAAACCCCTTTCGACATCTAAAACATCAGATGTGACGTCCAAAAATTTTCATTTCGCGAACTAAACACAGCCTAATGTTCATCTCCATCCATATCATCGAGCGGATCGGAGGCGATCGATCTCATCACCGGATAACCGCGACGCGACGCTGCTGTCCCCGGCCCTGCCCCACCAACGCGACCAGTTCCGCTGCGGGAGCCTTATCGCGACGATTATCCTGAGGACACTGCCTTGAGGCGGGACGTCGCCGCGTGCGTGTTGACGCCACGGCGGACGTCATCGCCCACCCCTCGCCGGCGGCGTCGGGAGCTTTATAGTCCTAGCGATGGGACGACGAGACAGGGAGACAAGACGCCACCGCCAGCGCGATGCCGGACCAAGCCTTTTGTAGTCGGCAAAACTAGCGTCTCGAACCGCAAAGGTACGAGCTCGCACTGGAAAAAAAAAAGATCACGCAGTTGTGGCCTGCACAGGCACGACACGATTACTGCCGTGTCGAGCTCCGGCTCAACGCAACCCAGGCATGTGTTCAGTACAGGACGACTCGACCAAACGAATCAGTAGACAACCACGACAACAGAGAACAGGGCCTTGTTTAGATTGAAAAAAATTTCAACCCAACGAATAGTAGCACTTTCGTCTTATTTGGTAAATATTATTCAATCGTGGACCAACTAAGCTCAAAAGATTCATCTCGTGATTTCCAACTAAACTGTGCAATTAGTTATTTTTTTTACCTACATTTAATGCTCCGTACAAACAGCTAAAAATTAATGTGATGAAGAGAGAGTAAAAAAAATTGGAATTTTGAGGGTATCTAAACAAGGCACAGACCATATTCAGCTACGAGGTGACTTGCAGTAACACCCTACTCTACTCCAGCCTAGTATCTATCGCCTTCCAGAGCACACAGGTGTCCGGATCAGCACCCTTTTCGACCAGACGCACGCCCCACCACTCGCCGCCGCAACAGCGGCGGCCACCGTACCGAGGTGAACCGCGGCACGGGTCGGCGCCCTACAGTTAGCTCTAGGCAGCATGAAACCTTTTGTTGGAGGGGAAGACCGTGGCTCGCTGTTCCCAGGTGTACAAAATGCTCTAGAATGTTCTGGTCCTTGTTCGTGCTGCCTACCTCGTCCTCGTCGTGGCCACGGCTTCTATGGTTTATAAGCCAACTGATGTTGTTTTTTTGAAAAAAAAATATTATATTATAACTAATACGATCAAGCGAACAAGGTGACAGCAATCGGCCACCCAAGGCCAGACGAAACGCGCCGCTAATCCACCGAGACCACCCATCGGCGATCGAGGGCAAGAATCTCTTGCATCCTCGTTGCTAAACACGGATGATTAGACCGGCAGAAGAACCTTTGCCCCGATAGGCAACAGGATAAGGCGGCGACTGTGCTGCTGCTGTTGGCTGTTGCTGTGCGGCGGGTCAGCAAGTGCAGCCACCACCACCACCTCCAGCATTTGTTGTTGCTCGCCATCATTTGCTGCAGCGAGGAGGGTACGAGGGTGGCGACGGGAATTATTGACGCCACCCGTCCCGACCCACAGACAAAAGGAAGGAATGCGCGCCCGCAACGACCTCTGGAGCTTCAGTCCAGAGCGACAGTAATCCGGCGACAAATCGACGTGACCGGCGACCTCGGCGAGTGGCTTATGTTTATGTACACGCCAGCCGAACACAGGGGCCGTGGCCACGACGAGGACGAGGCAGGCAGCACGAACAAGGACCAGAACATTCCTAGAGCATTTTGTACACCTGGGAACAGCGAGCCACGGTCTTCCCTTCCTCCAACAAAAGGTTTCATGCTGCCTAGAGCTAACTGTAGGGCGCCGACCCGTGCCGCGGTTCACCTCGGTACGGTGGCCGCCGCTGTTGCGGCAGCGAGTGGTGGGGCGTGCGTCTGGTCGTCGTCGGAGACGTTGGCGAGACCCTGGACGAGGCGCACGATGTCCGCGGGGTCGTCCAGGTAGTACTTGGCCTTGCTGGGCTTGCGCCCCACCGTGCACGCGAACACCTCCGCCTCTGGCTGCAGGGACATGCCCCTCGCCGCCGTCGTGATCACCTCGAACATGTCCTCGTCGGACCGGTCGTCGCCCACGCACAGGACGAAGTCCAGCAGGTCGCCCCGCTCCTGCATCGTCGAAAGGATCCGCTTCGCCACCAGGCCCTTGCTTACGCCCTGCAGATGGGAGGTCACGATTTGGCATTTTCGTTAGCATGATACTACTACATTGCTAGCTGAATTAACAGTAACCGTTACTGTTGTGAGCAGCAGCAAGCAGGCTTACCTGTGGCTTCACCTCAACAAGGCTGGGTCCAGCTTTCACTGAAACCGGCTCGTTTGAAAGCACACTCTCAAGATGCTCATGGAGCTCCTTGGCCTGGCACGATCCGAAATCTGGATCAGCGTCCTCGTAGCACCAAACGATAGCAGTCTCCTTGTTCTCAATTGTCGACCCGTCTGTAGTCTCAGTATACGTCTTCATCACAGGTTCTGCGATTTGCTTCCAGCTGCAGTCTATCACCGGAACGCATGTCTCCCATTCTGCATCTCTTCTCAGCCTACAACCATTGACAGCATTAGTGATTAGTGTGCTCCAGTAGTAGAAGGTCAATGGGCATTGCAATTTGCAAGATTAATTTATTATGAGGACGAACTGCATGGAAACCGCAGGAAGTAATAATACTTAAATTACCTGAGGAAGTAGCCGTGTTCAGCTGCTAGTCCAAGGCTCTCACATGGTAAGAACCACTCGTTTAAAGTCATCCGGCTCTTTGCACTAACAAGGAAGACCATGTTGTTCTTGTCACGGCAAAGGCTGTTCAGCACGTCTATCGTCCTTGAGGTAGGACTCTTACCGAACGAAGTCTGAGGCATCAGCGTCCCATCATAGTCCAAGAGAATGACGCGCTTTGTGGTCCTCCGGTAGGCCGAGACCAAGTGCTCAACTGCAAGCTTCTTGAAGTTTGGATCGAGGGCTACAACCCTGAACTTTAGCCCGAATCCTATGCCCCAGCAACGCCTCCTGTTATGGTCGAGGCAAATCCGCTCAAGATCTTGCAAGAAGCTGTTCGCCCAGTACCCAACATCATGTGTGCTCACATATCTGTGATGCTTCTCATGTCTCAACACCTTCTCCCCTGCGGGCATCTCCAATGCATAGTCCATTGCGTCAGCCACTGAATCAATGTTCCAAGGGTTCACACGGATAGCGCCGCTCAGGGAGGGCGAGCAGCCGATGAACTCTGACACAACAAGCATGCTCTTCTTCCTTGAAGCCGGACCAAGACCCAGGATACTATCTATCTTCTCATTCCCTTGTCGAGCAATTATGTACTCATATGGGATCAGATTCATGCCATCCCTCACTGCAGTAACCAAACAGCACTCCGCGACAACATAATAAGCCATCCTCTCATAGAACTGCAGAGGCTTATCAATCAGTATCACTGGCTGGTAATCTGGCTGCCCGAATGCATCGTTGATGCGCTTCACCATCGCATCACTCTCTTCCTGTACCTCCTTCACATCCTTTCCCCGCCCCCTTGCTGGATTGGCAATCTGAACAAGCACCACCCTTCCCCGCCATTCCGGATGCTGCATCAGGAGCTGCTCAAACGCCAAAAGCTTCAAGCTAATTCCTTTGAAGATATCCATATCATCAACACCAAGCAACAGCAGCCGGTTCTGATGATGGAACTGTTTCAGAAGCTCACCAACCTTGCCCCCAAGCTCCGGGAGGTTGAGGACCGACTGTAACTGCTCCAAGTGAACTCCCACAGGCAAGATCTTGATAGTTACTGTCCGACCGTAGTACTCCAGAGCAATGTAGCCCCTCTGCGACTCGTACTTCAACCCGAGCATTCTGCTGCAGCATGACAAGAAGTGTCTGGCATAATCAAAAGTGTGGAACCCAATCAGATCGGCATTCAGCAGCGACCGTAGCAGCTCCTCACGCACAGGTAGGGTCTTGTAGATCTCCGACGACGGGAACGGGCTATGAAGGAAGAACCCAAGCTTGACCCGGTTGAAGCGCTTGCGCAGGAACGTCGGGAGCACCATGAGATGGTAATCGTGCACCCAGACGAAGTCTTCGTCAGGGCTGATCACCTCCAGGATCTTGTCGGCGAATATCTTGTTGACCGACACGTAGGCCTGCCACAGGAGTCGGTCGAAGCGGCCACCGAGCTCCGGCGACAGTGGCAGCATGTAATGGAACAGTGGCCAGAGATGCTGCTTGCAGAAGCCGTGGTAGAAGCGGGAGCGGAGGTCGGCGGGCAGGAAGGTGGGCACGCAGCCGAAGCCCTCGAGAAGCTCGTGCGCGACCTCGTCGTGCTCGGCGGGGGGCACGTCGTGGCGGAGGCCGCCGACGTAGACGAACTCCATGTCCGCGCGGCCGTGGTGCGCGCGGAGGCTGTCCTTGACCTGCAGCAGGAGGCTGTCCTGGTCCCACGCGAAGTCCCAGCCGCCGCCGCCGCGGCGGGAGGCGCGCACGGGGAGCTGGTTGGCGACGATGATGACGCGCTCCCGCGGCGCGTGCGAGGAGTGGTCGGAGGCCGCGGAGGCGGCGTCCTCGTCGGCGTCGTCGTCGGAGACGTCGAGGTCCGGCACAATGCCGGACGCCGTCACCACGCGCGGTATCCGGCGGCGCCCCAGCGGCGGCAGCGGGTCGCCGCTGCTGCCGCTGGAGGCGAGTTCCAGGAGGTTGGAGTAGGATCTCGACACCATCCCCGCACACCGAATCAGAGCAAGCTGATGATGAACCTCCCAACCAAGATTCGATCTTCACCACTCGCCTCGCCTCGCCTCGCACACAAATCGCCACCGGAACCTGGACAACCTGTGATCCGGCCGGCGAACAGTTTGGAGGTCCGAGGAGAAAGCTTGAGCAAGAATGGCCGGCGGGGAAGGAAAAGGATCTATCCACCAGTCTCCGGCGGAGAAGAGAAGAGATAAATCTCGGCAAGGAATGGAATCGGCGGAGCAAGTAATAATCAGGAACCGAACTGAAAAGGCGGGCCCTCCCTTTCCGAAAGAAAAACCCAAGAGCTTTCGGCCAAAATCAATCCAGACGACCGAGGAGGAGCAACAACGTCTCAGGTGCTCCAGCTGGGACGGCCACTACTCCCTCCCTCCCTCGACAGACAGGCAGGGGACAAGAGAATCCCGCGTGCTCGCCGACGATGACCGGTTCCTGGACCAGCATTTGCCCTCCACCTCGCTCTCTCCGAAACACACGCCAGCACCAGCTAATAAGTAGGAATGGCTGGAGAAAAGGATTTGACGGAGCAAGGAAAGCAAATCCCTTTCCAGGGAGGAGGATTCGAGCGAGAGGCGTGGGTAGCGCCACTCGCTGGTTGGGATCGGGAGGCGGAACGGAGCGAAGCGATTCTTGGCCTCGGGTCGCGTGCGGGGGGGAGTGGTGGCTCTTGAGGGATCGCAAGAGCTGCTGCAGGGGACGCCGATCCGTTGTTTAAGTAGGAGCAGCAGGAGCAGAGCGCGAGTTGGGATAAGCTTTAGCAAGCTGCGGTTTTTTAAGCAGAGACGCCGAGCTGGGCAGCAGAGGCCAGAGGGGCTCGCGATGGAGACGCGATGGAGGGCAGAGACGATGCGCCGAATAAAATAATATAATATAGTCCAGCGGTTTGCTGGGAACAACCCTGTGTTTTTCTTGTTTGTCGCTCAGGTTGCTGTCTGCCCACCCACCTGCTGTCCTGTGCTGATCCTGATCTGATCACAGAGGTCACGATTATGGTATGCTGCGTCGAATTTGTAGCACCGTATGAGATCGGAACGTTATCCTGTCCTGTTTGTTGGTTTTAGATTAGATAGCGAGCACACGTTTTGGTTGCTCAAATTGTGTGTTGAGAGTGGGATTTATTCCTCCTCTGTATATCTACCAACGATAAGCTGGACGGAAGGAAGAAGCGTTCCTTGCGAAACATGGACTCTTATCTGTCCCCCGGCCGCTCCGTTTCGGATTTTCCTTTCATTCCTGGCTGTACAAACAATCTTTTGACTTCTCTTGTTTGCGAAGAAGAAAAGACTGGATAGATAATGACGTGCGTGCTTGCGTTGTTTGCTCTCCTGCCTGCAACTCCTAAGCTCGTTCGTCGATCCCATCTGATCTGCCCCTGGACTAGTAGACAAGGAATCACCCCTAAACAAATCCCTGTGCCTGCAGCAGGCTGCAGCCGCAGTATTTGTAGTATTTCATAGATAGTCCTCGATCAGCATGTGATTAACAGGAGCCTGAGGGACCACCTTGGAAAGTTTGGTTGCTCACACCTCCCACGCAGAAGAAGAAGAGACGAGACAGTGCAGTACAGAGGAGGTAGCTGGAAGCGTGAGTTCCCACGATCTTATCTGCCAAGGCCAAAAGGGACCACGCTGCGCTGAGCCCCATCCACTTCCGGAGCCTCTCCAGCCGTCCGATCCCATCGGCCGGCCAGGGGAAAGCGCGCGGGGAAAATTGCCTAGTTCGATGGGCTGTCGTGGCTAAAAGTAGCGTTGGTTGATTCGTTGTGAGAGAAAAGTAATATTTATTGATTAAAAAATATATGGCTTATAAGTTAAATGAACAGAATGAATATCCGTACGCGTCGGGTGTGTGAGGCCTCGTTTATTTCATCTCATAAAGTTTACTCTCTATTTAGTCCAGTGTTTGGACACATGCATGGCGTATTAAATATAGATTAAAAAATAACTAATTGTACACTTTTGCGATTAATTTGTGAGACAAATTTTAAGCCTAATTAGTCCATGATTTGACAATATGGTGCTACCGGAACACATGTGCTGATAACGGATTAATTAGGCTTAATAAATTCGTCTCACGAATTACTGACGGATTCTATAATTTATTTATTTTATTAATATCCGAACATCCCATACAACACCTTCATGTGACACCTGACACCCAAAACTTTACACCCTGAATTTAAACCAGAATTTAAACCAGGCCTGAGATCGGCGGTCGGCGAGGGCGGCGCCCCGGGCTCCCGCGCAAGCGCGACCTTCTACATGTCGGCCGAGGAGGGCGCTGCAGCACGTGCCGCGGCCCAGCTGTCGTCGGCCTACCCGGGCAGGAAGCGAAAGGGTTTCCCGGTGCCAGGGGCCCCGTCGTCTGCCGCCGGGAGCTTGGCCTGCCGGAGACCCTGGTCCACGGAGGTGCCGAGTGCCGACGTACTGCCGAGGAGTGAGCACGCTTGTGAACCACTGTGGATTAGGGATGAAAAGGGTCGAAACCATTGAAAAACCTCTCAATCGTTTTCTACTTTTACATTTAAATACGAAAATGAAAACGAAAGCGGTAAAGTCGGACATGAAAACGAACTTAACTTACGGAATATCGAGAATTTCAAAAATGAACTAATTCGAACGGAATTATATCGAAAACGGTCGGTATACGAAAAATCAATATGAAATATTGACCCATAGGACCAAATGCATAACAATTAACAAGTGAATAATAATTAACAAGTTCTACAACTTTCTTAAAAAGTATCTCCATTCGACATCATGTAAGTAAGATATGATTTTTCTTAGGCAACAAACACTTGTATGTGATTTAATATACCGCTGAAATGTTGTATAATTTTTTTGAACATCTTAAAGACCTCAAATGAAAAAACTAAAAACTAGAAAGTTGTAGATCTCGTCGAGAGCTACAATTTTCATATAAAAATCATCTTCATCCGAGATCGTATAAAAAAGATACAATTTTTTTTTAAGGTTGGACTTCTAGTTGACCAATTTTGGTTTAAACCGAATTTCAAAATCGAATTTTGAATTCGGGTATTCTGAATTAAAAGTAGAAAAATAGAAAATAGTCAGAAAAATGTCTAAACCATTTTCATTCTGATTTATAATTTGGTGTTTCGAATTTCGAACCGAATTCAAATTTATCCAAAAATACGAATTCGATCGAATTAAATATAGAAAACGATACGGTTCGGTACGAGATATTTCGGTACCGTTTTCATCCCTACTGTGGATGCCGCGCTGGCGCTGGAGGGACCTTCCTACTCCTCCTACCTTGTTGTAGTCATAAAAAAAAGACATCCGTGGTTGTGACTTGTGAGAGAAGCAAACTCCGACTATGGTTGTGACTTGATTGCAAAATTTTGAGATATTTATGTATACGAACAAATTTTATCAATGGACTTGCTCAAAAGATTCGTCTCGTGATTTACAACCACTAATTAGACCGCTTATGCGTCCAAAAATTGATGTGATGGAGAAAGAGTGAAAAAACTTGAAATTTTGAATTACGAGGCACAACCTTCTATTTTAGAGAAAAAAAGGAAAAAAAATACTCCGTCTACCATCTGCTTCAAAATATGTACCGGGGTTTAATTTGGTGTTATCTTGGAGGGAGGCCATAGTTTGACAAATGTTTTTTTTTACACGTAAGGCAAGATTTGGTTATTCAAAGCGTTCTTTAAATATAAATTTAATTTAATGTAACAAATTTGTTGCACAAAATTTTCCCAACACTAACTAAATTGTTGGTACAAAATTATTACAAATAGCCAGACATCTTAGGATAGAGGGAGTATTTTTGCACGTTAAACGTAATGCAAGTACGTTTAGCGTAAAACTACTAGCGTCTATATATATGTAAATATATGAGGTTTGAGGCGTCATCATGGTCTGTGATGTGCTAACACTGGCTAGAATTTTGCATATAAATGTGACAATATTTCTTTTGTAAATTACTATATTACAAAACTACCTCTTCTTTTCATTTTAAGATACGCGTGCGACCCAAGATTCAAACTTAGTATTATTTGACTAACACTTATATAACCTAAGAATCTGTAGATATACCATACAATTTTGATATTGTTGGATTCATATTTTAAAAAAAGCTTTCGTTTCGTGTGAAACCTATATTCATGGACATTACTATAGTATATGAGATGTTAATTACATAAATTTGAAGTTTGAAACTATATCGGGGTCGGGGCAAACCGGTCCTTAAGGAAAAAAAAGAAAAAGAAAATGAGGTAGTATTTTGAATAACAAATCAAGTGATGCTCTTTTTATGTGAGGGAACCCATAGTTTTACTCCAATTAATGATAAAGACTTATGTGGTGTTTGGTTGGTAGAACGATGTGGTCAATTATCATCTCACTCTCTAGTTTTTTGTTTGGTTTATACGAGAGAATGAGTTGATCCATGGCCACCATATTTTTTTACTCTAATAATTAGTACAAGTATAAGGAATGAGGTCATACCACTAAATTTGAGAAATGGACTCATGATGTATCACTTTATCTAGGATAAGTTAATTCCTCAAACCAAACACACCACACCACACCATTAGAGAACAACGGTGAATTCATGAGAACTACGTGCTTGCACGTTGCAGGCGCGCGAATATGTCTGCCTCTGCGTTCACACATATGATTTGTCAAGCTCACGTTATTACACTCTTATATTAGCATCCCGTGCGCTCAAGTTGTGGCCTCGACCTTAGCAGACATATTCCCACAAGGGAATGGGAACGTGGAACGGGAACGAGAATTTGGGGCGTTATTTTATAACGTGGGAACGTAAATGTTCCCGAATCAGGACGTGAACGTTTCCAAAACGACGTTCCCGAAACATGGAACTTAGTCATATTCCACGTTTCTGCTAAAGCCTGAACTGTGCATTACTTTCTCCATAATCATAGTCAAACTAACTTAAATTTGACTCAGTTATGTAAAATAGCATTAAT